GCATCTTTTGATGTGCTATACATATATGTATATATACACGCATATATTAGCTATACATACATTTGCTTTAGTGAAATGTGTCCAAATCTTTTACTCACTTTTAAAATTGGGTTGTTTGTCTTATTACTGAGATGTAAAAGTTCTTTTGATATTTTACATACAACTAATTTGTCAGATGCAAATAACAAATATTTTATCCCATTCTTGCCTTTTTGTTTACTTGATCAGTTGTTATGTCATCAATATCATTGTAATGGATTATTTTATAAAGCAAGATTAGAAAGAAAATGTGAGTAGATGATGAAGTCATAGCAGAATAGGAGCTAGTACATTCACTTTGGAAGGTTCACCTGGTTGGGGATTAGACCATGGAAGTGAAGACTTCACAGTGAATTTGGACATGTCCTGTTAGGTCAGAACTATAGAACAATGGCCATGTCAATAAATATATCAGTAAATAAATCTCTTTTACTTTTGCCAAGCGGTAGACATGTCTACTTTTCCGTACCAGTCCTCAGAAGCTGTCTTCTAAACCAACCTCTTTGTTCTTGTCCCTGCCCTTTCCTTATTCTCCTGTTTTAAAAACCTAGCACAGTATTGCACATTTCAGGAAAAAGGACTGGTTCTCAATATTGAAACTTTTCGTTAAGAGTAGCATAGTGATTTGATTTCCATTGTGGCACAAGAGTTAAAGAGGATTTAGAAGCCTAAGACTTTTGGTCTTGGACAGGGGCTGACAAACTATAGCCTTAGGGCTAAATCCAGCTTGATGCTTTTTTTTTGTAAATAAAATAAATATGTATTTATGTTATTTATGTGCTGTGGCTGCTTTCATACTGCAATGGCAGACTTGCATTGTCCTAATAGAGACCATCTGGTCCTCAAAGCCTAAGTATTGATTATCTGGCCCTTTAGAGAAAAAGTTTCCTGACTTCTCATCTAGGGAGAAACAAGTCCATTAACCTATAAGCATCAGTAAAAGGAGTCATTTCTGTCTGGGGGAAAACTCACCTTTCCTCAGAGACTCATAGATACCACTCATGGTAATAAGGGGGGATGGGATGCTAGCCAAGAAATTGGTACTCATCCTGAATGCTTTTTTTCTTAGAAGTATAATGATACATTTATTGAGATAGCGTTGTGAACACAATACTTATTGCCATCAGAAATAAGCACTTTGTTGTAGTCATGCAGATAGGTGTACGTGGTCCCTCAACAGCTTTCTATAAAAAGCATTTTATAAAGTTGCTTTCCTTCTATCTCAGTTTGCTTTGTAGCCCCTCTCTACCCTAAGAGTAATACTAGAAAAGTGAGAAGTCAATTAACAGTGTATCAGGATTAGGTTTGGAGGACACAGAATGAACAGGAGTGAGGGTTTGGGGAGGGGACCCAAAAATGAAAATCATCCAGGAAATTGAAGAGGCCTCCTGTGTTGTTGGCATTGGTACTGCGATGATTAGAGAAACTCGACCGATGATTTGTCCTTCTAGTAGCCACCTCCTTCCATGATGCATAGGTAAAATCAGAGTGATTATCAAGAACCAATAGTTGGGTTTCTTGGGTGAGTACTGGTCTTATAATCTTTATGCATTTAACCTTGTGTCATATGATGAGGATTCTTATTTATAGGACAATTAGAGAGTCCCATTCATTTCTCATGTCTTCTATCAGTATTTTGCGAGTGTTTATCTGAATTTGTCTGCTGCACCTTTTATGCTTTCAGGCACATGCCTCAAGTGTCCTTGTTCCTTAAGTCCATATCCAATTTTACTCATCTACCTGTTGATCATCATTTATAAATTGACCTGTGGTTAGTACTTTGAAATCCTCCTGCCTCAAAGGAATGGTTTTGCATAATTAAATCTAATTTTTGTAGACAATAGTTATTATTGAATATTCAAAACTGAGAAATACCAGATACTTTAACTTGTTTTTCTTTATCTTTGGAAATGCTGTGTGATAGACAGTATCACTATTAAGTCTGAAATTCCAGCCTCCATCTTGTTTATTTTGTCAGAAATTGATTTTTTCTTTTTTAATAGTGACAGAGCCATTTTATTAGATATAATTAATTATGGCCTGGGAGTTGAATTATGATGAGATGACTTAGTTTATAATCATAATTTATGTGAGGACATATTTCATTGATGTTCTACTTCACAATTTATGTTCATTAGAAATTATTTAAATTGAAGTATTTTTTGTAATACAAAATAATATTAAAGTAGGATTATTAATATGGGCACATTTTATTTTGAATCCAAAGGTTAACGATGATCATGTTTTTAATCTCAAATGAGGTATAAGTAAAATTGTTGTGCATACTAAGATTTGTATAAATTTAAGATATTATTCATCTTTATAAACCAATAGCAATATATACTTTGTTCTGGTTATTTTTTAAGATGCCTTTAAATTGTCATACTAATACATTGAAATGTTACTAAGTTTTTCACTGAAGCCTTAAGCTAAGTATTTTTTAGTATAATTTTTTTTTTCTGAGTTGCTTATCTTCTGAATAAAATTTGTATTTCTGAAGTTCTATCCGTTGTCAAGCCCAAAGATATAAGAGGGACATAGAATCTGTTGTTTTGGTGGGGTAAATTTGGGAATATACCATGAAGACTTAATGCAATGTTAGTTTGCTCTGATATGTGCCATGTATACTTTTAGGAACCTGAACATGTCCTTAAAGTTAGCAGGAGACAAAAGCTTCTTAGGAAAAACTAAAAAGCACTGTTGAAGTCATGCATATTTGTTAAAATGATAGCTGCTCTTTTCTTAGACATGTTTTATGCTTCTGTTTAGAATTCTAAATTTTATTGTCTAGTCATTGGTTTGTATAGAAGTATTCAGGATTGTAGATTTATGTAGTAATAAAACTGCTCAATTTCTAGCTTTCTGTCTAAAAAGCTTTGGGGGGCATTATTTAAATGCAACTTTCTATAACAGTTTCATATTAGACATCTATATATAAAAGATATAATTATATAGTGACTTAATGTTCTTTTCTCCATTTGAAAATTACAGAGTAATATCTTTAGTTGATTTCAGTTGCATATAAATATTTATTATTTTCAACATCCCAAGAACAGTACTTATATTACTAAAAATCACATGAAATGCTTAAATACTCAGGATATATTTTAATGTAGAATTGAATATAGAGTTAAGCTATTTCTAAAATACACACAAATTTTGTGATATAAATACATTTATGTATTCTATTCTGACTGGGTTTCACACACAGTAGTCAAACCCTTCCAGCTCTTCGTTACTATGTGATTTAGTCATTTAACATGGATTTATAATTCCTCTGTATTTATGCAATCCGTGATTTCAATAAGGTGTTTCTTTTTTCTATTAATGTAAGTTAATTACAGCATAGCCAGTCTTTGATTATCCATGGTGAATAACAAAAGAGCGGAGCATAAAAAATTGCAATTTAAAAATAATTTCTAAATCTCAGTAAAGCCAGTATTTTTGTTTGATTTTTTTTTTCTTCACTAACAATTTCTGCAACCCATCCTACCACTTCAAAAAATGTTTCAGTGATACATTTAAGAAGTAGCCAAATTGACAGCTTGTATCATTTCATTTTAGTTCATTAATCTGGTTTCTGTTAGAGGTGCTTAAGAGTGAATGACTCATGATTAAAAGATGGGAATAAAAAGCAGTTTTAGATAACCCACATGCTGAATTATTCTCCCTTGAAAAGCAGCAGATGAACTGAGCATTTCCCCGGATGCTGTTTTATTATTTATCTCAAGAGTATATTATTGTGACAAAAAAATTGCTACTATAGAAAACACCATAATAAAATAAAATATTTGTATATTCTCTGATAATAATTAGTGCTCAAATAATCCTATTAAGTAAAGTACTTTTTCTGATTCTAGTCCTTTTAAGTAATGAAGGAATTGTTGAAATTTCTACGAACCCTTAGTTATATTATTATATATTATAGGGGACTTTTCTTGTCATTTTTCAAGGATTTCACTTGAATAAAAATTCTTACTTTATACTGTTTTCATTGTAGCCATGGAAATCTTTTAGCCCTTTAAGGTCAAAGTGCCCTTTAAGATGCTTCATATTCATAACCTCTGTAATTCCTGCTAGTAAAACAAAAACCTCATAAATAGAAAGCAGCCTGGTAGACCCACATGGGTTTAGAATGTGTACCTCTTCTCGTTGCCCCACTGGAAATTTATATTCACTTATTTATGCTCCCTAACTTACTGTTGATATGGCTACTGTAGATCGTCAAGTAGAAGTGTGCATTTCAGACAGTATCCAGATTTTTTTGTTACGTTATCAGAAATCATTTTATCTTAATAGAATTCATTTTAAGAGTTTTTTTAAACCTATATTTCCTTGCAACCAATATAATTTCTAAACCTTTTTCTCAGTTTTGTAGTAATCCTTGGCTACAGCAAATGGTGTTCCTAAATTTTTTCAGTTCTTGTGGAATCATACAAAAAGTAATGTTCATTAAGTACTGTAATTATCACTTCATTCATTGAACTTCCTTATATCCATTTTGACAGTCTTCATTTTTTCTTAAAAACAACAAACAAACATAAACCCCAAACTCTGAAGGTAATCACACAAATTTGTTGTCTTGTAGTTTGATCTGTCTTAAAACTTAAGCGGCTTTCCAAATGGCCACTCACCGCTTGCAAGTAGTGGTCAGGTGACTTGAAACAGCATTACATCCATTCATATGATTACTGAAGAATGTGTTAGGTGGAGGAAAGAGGAGACTGGTATTCCAAAGCTGACTTCAGTCCCTTATGTTTAATGCCTGATTATGTTTGTTGACATTTTGCCCCACTGTTGAGCATTCCTTTTCAATTCACATCATGCTGAATTAAGTGCTTATCATTTCTTTTAAAATGTTTTGGAAAAAGAAGGTTATAGTACATTTTAAAAACTTGTTTGCTTGAAGGGAAAATTCTGAGTATTCTAATGGCTTTTCTAAAAAATCATTTATTTGCTAGGTAAGTTCTCTTCTACGCTTTATGAGACTGGTGGCTGTGATATGTCACTTGTGAATTTTGAACCAGCAGCAAGAAGAGCATCTAATATCTGGTATGTGTGATATCATGTTAGTTGTGTGTGTACTTGCATATGTTTGCCATGTTTAAAGATTTTAATGCTTGATATATAAAAGTTGTTTTGAAAACATTTGTTTATATTGGCTTAAATAATTTCTCATAGTGCATTTGTCTCTAGAGAGTTAAAGTAGAATTTGTTGCTATGGGAAAAAGAAAGCATACTTAAAACAAAAGCTATACTGTGTTTTTAAAAATGAAGGAAAAATTTCCTGTAGACCTTATAGTGGGATAGTGGTTTGCACAGTTGCAAATTTAACTATGGATTTCGTGTGCGTGTGTGCATGTGTGTATGTGTATGTGTGTGTGTGCATGTGTGTATGTGTATATGATGTAAAAAAGCTTATTAGACAAATAGTTATACAGCTAAGTTCATGCCCATCAGTTCGCTTTTTTTGTGTAATTTAAAATTTTTATTTCTTTGTAAAGGTTTGGTCATATGTTTTTAAATGATCACCTTTCATTTTCTTTTAAACAGCCGTAAGAAGGAATTTCTTAAATTATGGGTCATATATTACTTTGAGTTTCTTTTTTCTCCTTCCCTTAGGAAGGAATTATGTAAGATAAAGGAGAAGTTAGAAAAAAAGCAATAAGAAATTAGAAATCTTGATCTTATGACATAATTATAGTTTAGAATGTGTTAAGATTTTTGGTAAAGTTTTAATCTTATTGTTCATGTATGCAAGTTGTTGCTTTGAAATCCTTTATTGATTAATTTGCTCACTGTTTTCACTAGTTATTTGATTCTTATTTTAGGACTTCCATTTAAGAATGGACACACCTATTTAAATTAGACATCTATGGGCAATTCACTTAGTTTTTTAAGGTTTGAGGTGCCATTTAAATCAATAGGATCTTGTAATCACTTAGCATGCTGAAAAGACAGAACATTTAGAAAATTATACTCTACGCTCCTTTTCAGAATTCATCGGGTCAAAAATGATTAAATTGGAGTGTTAGATGATTTTGTAATAGTAGAAACAATAGGAGGATGGAGCAATGGAAACAATTATTTTTAATATAATTCAAGACAGGAACAGTTCCTTACACTGTAAATGTGGGAAGGTCTCAAGTGTTGAAATCTGAACTTGACTGAACTGTGGAAACTTAATTGTCATGTTCTAGGATATTTATAGCTAAAATTTACTGTGGTTCCAGGCAATATGGCAATTGCTTTCTTAAACACTTTTCACAAGAACCTTGTGATAAAGGTATTGTTACCCTATGTTACTGATGAGGCAACTGAGGTTCGATAATATGTTTAAGATTTAGTCAATGAAGAGATTTGAAGAGGCTTTACTTTTTAATCAATCACAACTCTAGGAAAATGATATTTTGCATTTTGAAGTTTACATAGAAAAATGAAGACAATGTAAATATAATCCAGTTGTTAAAGGATTTATTTTTTTTCCACTACTTGACAAGTTGTTTATCCCCTAAAGTCTTTTTCATTTTATTTTAGTGACACGGATTCTCATGTATCCAGTTCTACCTCAGTTCGATTTTATCCACATGATGTGGTAGGTTTTCCTTTATTTTTATAAAATGATGTGTGTTCAGATTTAAGTCTCTATACAAATTAAAAAAATATGAGTTTTGTTGAAAACTATGGCAAAATACCTTTGCTGTCCCATAGTGAATCTCTTCTTAGAAGTCCTTTGTTAAGAAACAAACAAAACGTGGAATACCATGAAGTTTAATTAGCTACATATGGATCAGTTATTACACTTTTGAGGGTATGTAAAGGTCCATTTACTCACCAATGTCGTAACCTGGTTCTGCCATTTTTAATTTTTCATTTTGAAACTTCTCTTTGAATATTATGATTTTGTTGCATTTATTTATTGGTTAACTACTAGTTATTCATATACCAGAGTGTGGGGGTGCGGGGGGAGTGATGACATCATTGTATAAAAATGTGCCACATAAAATGGGGATATTTTAAAAAGATAACACTGCCTATGCCATCAAGATGTATATATATTGAAGTTGCAAAAGACAAAATGGTGAAATCTTTATAAACAACACATAAGAGGTACTTGTAGATAAATGTAGTGCCAAAGGGATTAATTATTAGCAGCCTCCTGAAGATGACGAGTTGTGAACAAGGTTTTCAGACCATGGATGTGAGTTGGCATAGTGCAGAGGTTTTCCACAAGTGGATATTTGACAATGTCTGGAAACATTTTTTGCTTGTCACAGCGTGGGGAATAATGCTGCTGGTATCTAGTGGATAGAAGTTGAGATGCTGTTAAACATCCTATAGTGGACAGCACAGCCCCTACAACATAGAATTATCTGGCTGAAAATTTCTGTACTGCTCAGGTTGAGAAACCCTGGCACAGAGGATAAGAAAAGAAGTGTTTCGGGAAGTCTTTGTCAGTGCTTAGAGATAGAAGTGGCTGTGTTATGTACAGGAAGCAAATTTTCTAGACTATACCCATAGATGTGTTTGAAAAGTAGACTTTCCCTATTTTTTTTGCTGTAGTGTATTCCTAGGAGCTCCATAGGAAGGCAAAAATGGAAAAATGATTATTGTTTTCTACTGTTAAATGTATGGGAGCCTTGAGATAGCAAAATGCTGGCTAGTGCTGTGCTAGATACAGTAAACTTTTTATTCTTTCAGAGGAAGGGGAAACTGGTGAACTGGTGAATGGATGAGTTAAGGCTAAAAGAAATGTAATGTGGTAGTTTCCTGTATAGCCTCAGCTGAGCAGCCTGCCAAAACAAAAAAGTGGGGGTGGGCTTGGAGGGATTTGAAAACAACAATAATTGTGATAAGAGGCTGTAGGAAGAAATGAGAGTTGAAAACATTGAATCCAGTGCAGAGGAGCTTAGACTTAATGAGGTTCATAGCTTAATGAGAAAAGACCATAAATGTGATGGGAAGAAAAGAAGCCATTAATGATTCATTGTAAATGATCTTACTGTATTTACTAGTGAAACAATCATAAAACGTTAAGATTTCAAACACTTTTTCTAATAAAACCTTTCCAAAAGGTGTATTGATTAATTTGCTTTATTTTACTTCATTTCCTATTGTCACCTTCTGTAGTTTTTTTTTAAATTAGTTTCAGGTGTACAAAAACAACATAATGATTAGACATTTACACACCTCACAAAGTGATAACCCCAACAAGTCTATCCATCTGATACTGTACATAGTTATTATAATACCATTGACTATACTCCCTATACTGTACTTTACATCCCGTGACCACATAAATAAATATATATGTATATAGTTACAGTTGACATTCAGTATTATTTTATATTAGTTTCATGTGTACAGCACCTTCTGTAGTTTTTAATGGTCATGAAATATCCACAAGGAGTGGACTAATATAGAAAATTCAGGGGGCTTAGATAACCTGTAAACTGTAATTGAGTAGCCCTTGAATCATGACTTGATTAAAGATATTGTAAGCCTTTCAATGCTGACTTTCCTTTAGCTCTCTCTTCCACAGATTCGATTGAACAGACTATTGACCATCGATACAGATTTGTTGGAGCAACAAGACATTGATCTGAGCCCAGATCTGGCAGCTACTTACGGGCCAACAGAAGAAGCTGCCCAAAAGGTTAAACACTATTATCGCTTTTGGATCCTGCCCCAGCTGTGGATTGGCATTAACTTTGACAGACTCACACTTTTGGCCCTCTTTGATAGGTGAGAATATAGTGTGATATTAAAGATGCAAACAGATTTTATTTTTAAATTGAAATGTCCCTAATGACCCACTGAGGTTTTTACTTCATTTCCATGTTGGAAAATGTTTTCTATTTTGGTTCTTTTGATATAAAATTTAAGTTATTAGGTTCCAAAACATTGACTCTTGAATCCACTAGAAACCTTTTTGTGGCAATTTTAATGTTTATACAAAAAATATATATATATTTTTTTATCATAAATAAGAATCATGCAACTGTACTACTGAAAAGCCAGAGAAACTGAAGTGTTTTAAGGATTGTAAAGTTATAGGTAATATGACCCTAAATAAAAGAAGCATAAGGGGAAACTTCTGTTTTTCTATTTCTTAGCACTAATTTTAGTAGTAAACAATATTAGTCCATTATAAACTTGGTGACTAAATGCTGCTTCCAGTCAACCTGGATTAACAAGGATTGGATTTACCCTCCTACCTGAAACTATGAAAAATAGACAAAATGCATGAAACCATGGTTTTCAAGACATTGGAGATAAGACAGCAAAAGACAGTGGTTCCTGAAAAACGGGAAACAAATTATGTGAGCCCTACAACCGCTCCAGCTTACTGCCTTAAGAGTTCCCAGGCTGTGCACAGGGATGAGGTATTAAAGTAGAGCCTAGCAGACCTTCTGAGTTGGAGGTGGAGCTAAGAGTCCATAGGACAGAATTTCAGAGAAAGGATTGATGCTCAGAGAATCTCAGAGATCTGCAATGGGTCTCCTTGACTGTGCAGAATATTGATAAGTGAATGTCCGAGAAGAAAGTACCCGAGGCCAGGTAGGAACCATTTGAAATAAATAAAGGAACAGTGCCTAGCACTCACACCAGGCCAGGAATAGGGCCTGTTCCTACCAGCCTGATGGAAGAAACGCACAATTCATGTATCATGGTGCATTGTATAGCATACTCAGGAGAGTCTTGCCTTAGAAGTGGGGAATAATTAGCCCTAGCATGAGCACTGCTCCAGACCCACCTAACAAGGTCATAAAAGTGAGACCCAAAAGGATCAAATTGTTTCCAAGTAGCATAACAAAGCACAGGAAGATTTCTAGAAATCCAGAAATTCTCAGTCCCCAGTAAGTTAAGATTCATTCTATGTAGCACCCAAAGATTACCAAGCATGCAGAGAAGGGATACAACATGATTTATAATGAGGAAAATAATCAGGTGGAACCAACCTGCAACTGTTACAGATACTAGAATTAGCAGTCAAAGATGTTAAAACTGTTATAACTGTATTTCATATGTTAACAAAGTTAAGTAGAGACATGGAATATATATAAAATGACCCAAATCAAACTTGCAGAGATGAAAACTAAAATATCTGAGATGAAAACTACAGTGGATGGGATTATTGGTGAGTTAGACATTACAGAAGAAAATATTGGTGAACTTGAAAGCATAGCAATAGAAACTATCCAAAATGAAAGGGGAAAAAAAAGGTCATCCTTCCACTCCTATTCACCAACGAAAAGAACATAAAATGGAAGTAGCCTGTGGGACAGGAGACAAATGAAAGAGACAGGAGACAAATGATTTTGAGGAAATAATGATGGATGACTTTCCAAAGTTGATGAAAATTATAAACATCCACATTAAAGAACTTCAGTGAACCCAAAGCAACATGAAGACAACTACACCAAGGCACATAATTGCTTAAAACTAGTGATAAGAATCTTAAAAACTAGAAGAGAGAAAAAAAAGTTTGTTAGAGGAACAAGGATAAGGAAGACATGAGATTTATTGTTGGAAATAATGCAAGTGAGAAGACAGTGGAGCAACATTTTTAAAGTATTAAAAAGGAAAAAAAAAAAAACTTTTCAGGGCCAGCCAAGTGGCGCGTTGGTTAAGAGTTGGCTTGCGACGCCAGCTTGGAGCAGCAGGGCCCCGGTTCGGATCCCACATTAGGGCCAGTGACACTGCCCTCTACAGCTAAGATGGTGAACAAAAGTTCGACCTGGAGCTGGGCTGCTGTGAGTCGCTGGCGACGGCGTAGGCTGCAGTGAAGCTGCAGTGGGCTGCCATAAGCTACCATGAGCGGCTGGCAGCTGGCATGAACCTCTGTGAGCTGCCATGAACGGCCGTCCAATGGCTGGTGACCGATCTGCCTCAGCCGGGAAGACCACAGTGATAATACCAACATGGGCCAGTGGAGCGATGTCCTCCACAACTAGACTGAAGAACGAAAGGACAGCAACTTGTCTGTTCCCCTTCCCCGAGTCCCCAATGCTGTTCTCCTCCCCCAATTCCCCAATAAAACCTTTAAAACAAAACTATCAACCTAGAATTCCATACCCAGAAAACAAATTTTTTAATAACCAAGATGAAATAAAGACATTTTCAGACTAGGAAGAACTGAAAGAATTCTTTGCAGGCAGACCCACACTATAGGATATGTTAAAGGATATCTTTCAAGCAGAAGGGAAATAATACCAAACGAAAATATGGACCTACCCAAAGGAACAAAGATCACTGGAAATGCTAAGTAACTACACGAATAAATATATATATTTTTTCTTACTACTTAAATCTTTTTGAGAGATAATTGGATGTTTAAAATAATAAAGTATTATGTGGTTTATAATATGTGAAAGTAAAATTCATGACAATAGCATAAAGACTGGGAAGGGAAATACAAAATTATACTACTGTAAGTTTCTTATAGTAAATGTGAAGTGTCATAACATCATTTGAAGGTAGACTTATAAAATGTGTACTGTAAAAATAGCACTAAAAGAGAGAATTATAGCTAGTAAGTTAAAAAAAAAAAGATAAAATGGATTCATAAAAATTACTCTCTTGGGGCCGGCCGAGTGGTGCGATGGTTAAGAACTGGCTTGGGATGCCAGAGGGCCCCGGTTCGGATCCCACATATGAGGGCCAGTGACACTGCCCTCTACAGCTAAGATGCTGAACAACAGCTCAACCTGGAGCTGGGCTGCCGTGAGTCGCCGGCGACGGCGGCTGCAGCCCCTGCTGCAGTGGGTTGCCATGGGCTACCGTGTGTAGCCAGCAGCCAGCGTGAGCAGCCAGCAGCCGCAGTGAGCGGCCGTCCAGAAGCCGGCGACTGATCTGCCTCGCCCGGGAAGAGCGCAATGATGGTGCCAACTTGGGCCAGTGAAGCAACGTCCTCCACAACTAGACTGAAGAACAAAACGACAGCAACTTGTCTGTTCCCCTTCCCCCAATTCCCTAGCACCATTCCCATCCCCCCCAATTCCCCAATAAAAATCTTCAGAAAAAAAAAATTTACTCTGTTGATCTAAAGGAAGGCCAAAAAAGAGGAAAGATCAAGAACAGATCGACATATAGAAAATAAAAGATGATAGAGAAAATCCAAAATTGTCAGAATGGAGAAAAAAGCAAGACTCAACTCTATGCTGCCTACAAGAAATGCACTTTGAATATAAAGACAGAAATAGGTTAAAAATAAAAAATTGAAAAAGAGATAGCATGCTTATGTTAATCAAAGGAAAGCTGGAGTGGCTGTGTTAATGTCAGACAAATTAGATTTTAGAGCAAAGACTATTACCAAGGATAAAGAGAGTCATAATGATGCGTCTACACCTAAAACAGTGCTTCAAAATACATAGAGTAAAAGCTGATAGAAATAGGAATAAATAGACAAATTGACAATGATAGTTGAATTTAACACCCCTTTCTCAACAATTGAAAGAACTGGTACGTAGAAAATCAGAAAGGACATAGACTTGAGCAATTCTGCTCACCAAACTTAGTTGATATTTATGAAACACTCCAACCATAACAACAGAATACACATTCTTTTAAATGCACATGGAACATTCACCAAGATAGACCATATTCTGGGTTATAATAAATTGGTCAAATTTAAAAGGATTCAAGTCAATATATAATAGTGTGTTCTCTGAGCATTGTGGAATTAATTATAAATTAATAACAAAAAGAGCCTTGGGAAATTCCTAAATATTTGGGAACTAATATTTCTAAATAACTCATGAATCAAAGAAGAAATCAAGACGGAAATTAGGTGGTATTTTGAACTGAAGGAAAATGAAAACACAACATACCAGAATTTTGGGTGCACCACTAACATAGTACTTAGGAGAATTTATAGCACCTAATAAGAAAAGTCAAATGAGTGACTTCACCTTCCACCTTAAGAAACTAGAAAAAGAGCACATTAAGTCTAAGTAAGCATAAGAAAGAAAATAGTCGAGAACAAAGCAGAAATCAGTGAGGAAACAGAAGAATGATAGAGAAAAATCACAGAAACCAGAAGTTTGATCTTTGAGAAAATCAACTAAATTGATAAACTTTTAAATAGGCTGATGAGGAAAAAAAAAAGAGAAGAAAAAAGATACAGATAACCAATAACTGAAATACGAGATAGGATTTCACTACAGATTCTACAGGTATTAAATGGATAATAGAATACTATAAACCACTACATGTCAATAAATTTGACAATGGACATATTTATTGAAGGATATAAATCATCAAAGTTCACTTTGAAAGAAATATCTTAATGGTCATATATCGATTAAATAAATGGAAATTGTAGTTAAAAAACCTTCCCATAAAGAAAACTTCGGGCCCATATGGCATCAAAATAATATCCCAAATCAGTAGTGGTGGAAGGATAGCCTTTTCAACAATTGTATTTCCATATGCAAAAAAACCAAAAAAAACCCCAAAATGTATCCTTACCTTGCACCATATTACAAGAATTCAAAATATATAGGCCTAAATGTAAAATCTAAAACAGTAAACCTTGTAGAAGTAAATAAAATATAGGAGAAAATATTTGTGACCTTGGGTTAGGCAAAGTTTCTTAAATGTGACACCAAAAATAAGATTAGTAAAAGAACAAGTAGATAAATTGGATTTATCAAAATTAAAATTTAAGAAAAATCAAAAGAGAGCACATGTTCAGTGTGTAGCGATATAAACAGTATATCAGATATAGACAGTATAGTGTAGCAGGGTTGACAAGGATCATTGGATTCGGCAAATCTGGAATTCCACAACCTGCCATATAAGGTCAGAGAAAATACCAGTGTTTATTGTTTGAAAATGTTACTGAATTTGTTTTAATCCGGTAGAACTAACAAATGAAATAGTACAGAGATGTTTGTGAATTTTATTTTTAGGTCAATTGATTATTATAAATACAGCATTGACAACACATTCATAAAAACATTTTTATGATTATAAGAGTAATTCTTTACCCATTATAAAAAACTTAAATACATGAAAGATTTTAAGACAGAAAGAGACCATGCATAACTCTTCCACCCAGAGAGAGATGTTATCAGTAGTATCGTTTTGATATATTGTCTTTTTTAACCCGTAACTGTGGACAGGACTTACATCTTCCTATCTACATGATTTTGTGTCCTTTCTTTGTATAGTAAATGTGCTGACCATGTTCCCATGTCATATATATTCTTTAAAATACAAGACTTTTAGTAAGTATTTAATATTTTGTGATAAAATTTCCTCAAGAAGTAATGATATCGGTTCATATTTTTTGGTGTGACAAAAATCATCTTCATTACTATATGTAATATCTTGGGCATCAGATTGTTTCTTTTACATTGTCAGTTTAATAAAATATAGAACTTTCAGCAACTTTGATAGGGATAGTATTGATGGTCTTTATCACTACCTTCATTCTCAAAATATGGAAGGGCCTGTATTTAAACAATTCTAGTAAATTGCTTTTCAGATTATTTCACATCATTTGGTATCAAAATTTGGTCACAAACTTTATCATATAAAATAACAATTTTTAAATTTAATTTTTCTAGAAACTGTTTTGAGATTTTGTTTTTCAAACTTGTTTCTCTTTATAGGTCCTTTATTTGCCATCCTGGTAGGTTAGTAATTTTGAGGAAATTTGACAGATAGGAAAGCAGGTGTTAAGAAGAGTAAAGTTTTTAAAATAGAAATGAAAACTGTATTATGTATTAAAATTAAAGCTTCACAATCTACTATAGCATGTTTTATTTACACACAAGAATTTGTTTTAATTTCCCACATCAACTAGTTTTTTTTTCAGTGTAATGCAAAATCTTATTCAAACCTAATACTGTAAAAATATCTCAGCAAGCATAATATGAACTTTATATTGATGCCTTCTTTTCACTCTGATTAATTTCTTATACTGATGATATAAATATTTCTATCTACAGAAATCGTGAGATCCTGGAAAATGTGTTAGCTGTCATCCTGGCTATTCTTGTTGCATTTTTGGGGTCTATTCTTCTCATACAAGGCTTCTTCAGAGATATCTGGGTGTTCCAGTTCTGCCTGGTTATAGCCAGCTGTCAATACTCACTGCTTAAGGTACCAGCATCTCTCTTCTTTCCAGGCTGTGGAATAATATTTATGTTAAAGGGCAGAGATTTCATTACATCCACTACATTATAGTAAGATATTAATTTTTTTATTTATTTTCCTTGGATGTTTACATTAGATTGGGTAGTGAACCAAAGTGACATATAAACTTTAAAAAATAATGATATGTAAATGAAACTTTCTTAAAGCTACTTTTTGTATTGAAAGAAAATATTTGGGCATTTGTTAAAAAAAAGAATTTGCATTTTTGAAATTCATTTATTTTTAATTTGCCAACATTAACTCTCCCACTTTTGTATTTTAAGTGTTCTGTAGGTGAAATTTATTAAAACCTATCATTTATTGATACAATAATGTCAAAACTGGTACATATGTTCCTTTGGAACATTGAAAACAGGAGATTGGTGTCCCTTTGCTATTGTTTTAATAATAATGGCTTTAAAATATCAAATATCAATTTTAACTTCTCCAAAATGAATCACATGCCAAATTTTTCACCTTCCATGCAAAATCAGTGTGGACTGTTAATGTGGACTGTTTCCATTTCCATGTTTCTTGTCCAGTAAACACCCTTGCTTGAATTGGTTATTTACCTGATATAAGCTAACATGAAGAACTTCTCCCATCCTGAAAACTATTTTGTCAGTTCTGTTTATACCATCAGCTGCCCAGATGTCTGTAGAGAGAGACACACTGACGTCAACTGCTTCATTTCTTCAAGACCCATCCATACTTTTCCTTTTCTTAGTCTTCATTCTTGATCAGTGCTGCATCACTGAACACCTGTGAATTCTATCTTCCATTTTTATATTGTCTTCATTGTTCTGTGACTTTATATTACCCTGATGATTATCCTACGTTTCAGATAACTTTATTTTCCTTTCTTAATGCCTCTTTGTTCTTTTGACCACTTCTTCTTAATTTATGAGAATTCTCTAGGGCTTTATTTGGCCTTCGTCAGTTTGCAGTTCCTTGCTTGTGAAGTCATCCTTTTTTACTTTATATGTTGCCCCTACACATGAATTATGTCCAGATTTATATCTCAAGAGTCTTCACCTTTCTCACAGCGTTAGTCCTTTAGGCATTTGGCACATCTGAAAAATAGCCCACTATCATCTTCTGATAAATCTTTTCCTTTCCCCGTTGCTTTGCTTTTGACAGACTGTACTGACTCAGAATCTTAGAGCCACTCCTTCCAAGTTACTTTGATTAAATGTGGTGATTCTATGTTAAAACTCCTGGTCTTTGTTCTTGCTTTCCATTTCAACCACCTTGATCTAAACCCTTTATTGCCTTAAACCATATAAATTCATTCCCTGACTCTGGTGCTCCTTGTCCCATTAATTTTGTCCAGTGCTTTTAAGTTAATATGGTCAGATATGGAAAAGGTAAAAGATGACTGAGGTTTTTAAAATTACAAGTTGACTAGAAGAATAGTAATGTGATAACCATAAATAAGAAAGGCTGGAACAGAAACTTTTAGAGGATAGATGTTGGAATTGAAAGAATTTCAGAATTACCTGCTCTCATATCCAGTAAAGTACCATATACCAAACTCAGTAACTTTGGTCCAATCTGGAATTGCAGGGTGGTGATAGACCATCCTAGGCAAATGGTTTGGTATACTGTTGGAAATGAACTTGAACTTGGGAGAAAGGTCATGATTTGGGAAGTAGCTGCATAATACCTTTTGGACATTTTTATTGAAAGTTGATAAAGTTTCTTACAAAGATATAGCTTAACTTAATTGATGATTTTTATGTGAAAATATAGATAACTTAGTAATACAAATACCATTGAATTGTTTAATAAGCTTGGAATTTGTGGGCAGAACTAGAATTCTTCTTATAAGCTAACCCATATTTTGTGCATTTCTTGAATGTGTAGTAATGAACCAAGCAGTAATAGATCTATCTACCATATGCCATTTCCGAAACATTAAGCTAGATGCAAATTATTAACTAACCAAAATAAGTTTAAGAGTCAGGAAAGATTTGAGATGTTTTAATACCGCAGTGACACCAGTATCTCAAACTGATGTTTTGGTCTTCTGTTGATGTTTCAACAGAATTAATATAGGTCCTTTCTTAGCTGTGGAATATTTATTTGAAATTATTTCAGGCATTTTGAAAGTTGCTTGTAAAATTACCAGGATTTCAGTAGTATAATCTATCTTTGTTTCATTTTTAGAGTGTTCAACCAGATTCTTCTTCTCCCAGACATGTAAGTCACTCTAATATGCCTATAATTCATAGTTCCTTAACATTCATCAAAACCTTTTGTGGGTCATATGTCAGATTGGATTAAGATTTATGTTATTATTTTCTCATCTAAGTCTTGACACACTACTAGAAATATAGGTGATTTATTGGCATGAAATAAAAATGGCATTGTAATTGTGGGCTTTAAATCCTGGTTGAAAATGAGCATGATAATTCATGTTTTGACAGCCTGTTTCAGGGGGAGGTTATCAGTTAGGTAGGCATGATTCATATAAACTCATGGGTTTTTGGTGACTTGCATTTAATTTTGAAGAATAAATCATGAATAAGTATTGAAAGATAGAATTTTGAAGTAGGAAAAACTTTGTATTATTTTGCTTAAGTAATTATTAGGAGGAAGAATAAAGAAGTAATGCATTGATCTGGTGTTTAGACCTGTGGACACTAAGGAGATTAAAAACCTTTTTATTTACTTTGTGACTTTAGACAAACATAGTAGCTGCCTAACAATATTTATTGTGATGCGTGCTTCAGTGTTAGACCTCACCCTTGTTACAGTAATTTAATCGAAAGACCAAAGGCCATTCTCTTTAAAATAGTTCAAAATCAGACTCTACAATTTATGATGATGTCTTCTTTCTTGAATTTATTATTTTTTCCCATACGCTGAGATACTTAATATTGAAAGTAGATGAACAAAACAAAACAAGGAGGCACATGATTTACTTTCAACTGATGGTTTATTATTTTGTAAGAATGCTTTTGAAGTGTAATGATAGATGGAAGTATTGGTTTTAGCTTTATTTTGAACATAATTTCAAACTTAAGGAAAAGTTGCAAAGATCATACAAAGAATTCCTGATGCCATTCACCCATATCCCTGCTTAAACATTTTATCATATTTGTTTATTCCCTTTCCCTGTATACGCACACGTGTGCGTGCACATACACACACACACACTTTTCTGAACTGTTTGAGAATGAATTGTAGACACGATGCCCCTTTACTTCTAAATACTTCAGTCTGTGTTTTCTAGAAACAGAGGCATTTCTTTACATTAATTCAATATAATTACCAAATCAGGGCATTAACATTGATACAATACTATTTTCTAAGCTACAGTTCTTATTTAGTTGTTTTCTATTTTCTCAATTGGCAATAGAAAATTCCTGATTAGGCATTTGGTCTTCTTAGCCTACTTTAATCTGGAGTAGTTCCTTAGTATTTATTTGTCTTTTATGATATTGACACTTTTGGTGGGTACAGGCCAGTTATTTTGCAGACCATCCCTCAGTTTGAGTTTGTCTGATGTTTCTTCTTGATTGGATACAGACCATGCTTTTTTTGGTGGGAACACTAATGAAAGTGATATGTTCTCAGTGCATCAATCAGGAAGCACATGATGTGGATTTATCCTTTCGCTGTTGATGTTAACTTTGATCTTTTAGCTAAGGGTAGTGTCTGCAGGGTTTTTTAACCTCTGCAATATTAACATTTTGGGCTGGATGGTTCTTTTTTTGTGGGAGGGGGTGCTGTCCTGTGCATTATAGGTTATTTAGCTTTATCTTTTACCTCTACTCACTAGATGTTAGTGGCATCCACACCCCAATTGTTACAACCAGCATGTCTCCAGGCATTGCCAAGTGTCCCCTGGGGGTCAAAATCCCCTCCCACTCCCTTCAGAATCATAGGGAGATACTTTGAGATTGTGTATATCCAGTTGCCCTGAAGACTTCCACCAACTTGTTTTTAATATCTGTTGATGTTTCTTGCCTGAATCAGATTAGCATTTGATGGTTGCCAAATAGTGATTTTCTAATTTCATCATTCCCTCTACATGTAGTCGTAGACTTTACTATAAGAAATAACTTTCCCTTAATTCAGCGGTTCTTAACCTGTGGGTCGCAACCCCTTTGGGGGTCGAACGACCCTTTCACAGGGGTCGCCTAAGACCATCAGAAACAAAAAGATATTTACATTACGATTCATAACAGTAGCAAAATTACAGTTATAGAGTAGCAACGAAAATAATTTTATGGCTGGGGGTCACCACAACATGAGGAAC